CTTCTCATCGTCCTTGGAGAAACCCTCCTCCCTGTTGCTATTGAGAGCTTGGGCTACGCCCACTATCTCGTTGTCTCCGTTTCTGATTGGCATACACAGCAGTGACTCCGCCTTGTAGCCTGTGATCTTTACCAGTTCGTCGTTGTAACGATGGTCCTGAGGGTCAGATAAAATTACATATGTATAAATATATATATCGGCTCTATGGATAAGTCGCTTCGTAATGCCGGGGTGCCGGGTTTGATCCCAGCTGCAGGCCAGGCGCCTTTCATTGGTTTCGACAGTGGTATCAGGGGGCCGACCGTCCAGGAAGCAATGGCAAAGTACTGGACGTAAATTTGCCTAGAGAAACCACACAACAGCCAGAGGCTGCTGTAGTTGGTTCTGCAACGTCCTGTAAAGGATACCCAACTAAAATTTAAATTACAATTTAATATATATATATCTATATAGGCCAGAATAAAGATCTATATTATTTGATTATAGTGTAGTTATCGCATCTCACACATGATAGGTTTCTCCTGGCAAAAGTCGTATAGTGTGTTAAAGATACAAATAAAAGATCCAGCCAAGTTGCCAGAGTCTAAGACAGCAAGGTGTTTAAGTCCTAGATGCCATATCTACTATCTACCCTGAACTGCTCCAGGGTTTTGATGTTTGAGGTTTGAACAACGGATCAACATCATGGCAAACGGGTAGTAACCAATGTGCTCCGTTCCTCGTCCAAATCAAGTCTGTCCGAAGAAGCCCAGCACAATGCACAGGCTCTGTAGCACTGGCAAGGATCCTGAAATACTTTGGGTAGATTTTAAACTCTAAAGTTATCCCGGACAGCGCCGTTGGGCTTATCGTTTCGAAAAAGTTGTAGCACACGTGAAAAAAATCCCAGCCCTTAACGGGAATTGAACGCGGAACCTCTAGCACTCGAGGCGGACACCATCTTTGTTAGGGAAGCTTGGAGCAAGAAATGCCACCCACAGGCTTTATCTCTGTTCCCTGTGCTATTGGACAAGTTTCGTTTTCTTTGCACACCTGGTGCGAGAGGGGAAACTAGAGCAACGGAAAAGATGGAAAGCAGGAGTGACACAGCTGGATGGATTGGAATTGAAGAATACCTGAATCAAAAGTTATTGACAGTACAAGAGACAGAAGGCGGTTAACAGACACGATTACCTACATCACAAGGAATGAGCGGTTAGAAAAATATCTCAAATCTCTAACACAGGCTGAGAAATCCATCCTGATATTTGGAATTAAACGCTGCGGACCAGTGAGTGGTGAGCTGTCGTGGTGTAGCAGTTAGAATATGAAGGTTGTGGGTACAGTCCCAAGGTTGTGGGTACAGTCCAAAGGTTGTGGGTACAGTCCAAAGGTTGTGTGTACAGTCCGAATGTTGTGGGTACATTCCGAAGGTTGTGGGTACAGTCCGAAGGTTGTGGGTACAGTCCAAATGTTGTGGGTACAGTCCGAAGGTTGTGGGTACAGTCCGAATGTTGTGGGTACAGTCCGGAGGTTGTGGGTACAGTCCGAAGGTTGTGGGTACATTCCGAAGGTTGTGGGTACAGTCCAAACTTTGTGGGTACCGTCCGGAGGGAGCCGAACATTTTTTGGAAATGACCTTTGGTTTCCAGGTTTACCCAACTTTGAGCGGGAAACAGGTAAGGTCATAGAAAGTAAAGTCGACAAGCTTTTTGTCAGCCACATCACCCACAGAGTGCCGATTAGTCAATAAAAAAAAAGGTCTGGCCTTATATGCCCAATACGAGTAAAGGTGTGGAAACGACTTCCTTATACCAATGACTTACAAAGACGATGGCATTCATTGCGAAAGACAACATTACATAATAAATACAATTTATTTCAAGCGAACAGAAATGGAAAAAGGGCGATACACATTGATTGTCTTGTGTGCTTCCTTTCTCCACAATAAAACCTTTTACACAGATCGTAGACACGCGCCGAGGTCTCTGGATGATATTGTTCTCAGCGGAAAAGTTACAATCTATCTATTACAGTACTGCATTCTTCATCAGTATCTGCACTTGCAACCAGATACTGCGTGGAGTGCTTTGTTCATCGAGCTAAAGACAAACACACAGGTTAGCTGGCTGTCACACAGACAGACAGATAGACTGGAAGAAAGACAAGCACAAAGGCAAAGTATTACAGAAACTATAAGCGTGACAGGATAGGGCAGACAAAGACAAGAGTAACAGGCAGACTGCAGACAGACGAAGTAAAAGAGAGAAGGAAGAGAGCGGATAGAAAAAACAAGCAGACGGAGTAGGTGACAGATAGATAATCAGACAGGAAGATATGTAAGTAGGTAGCACTGTGGGTAGAGAGGTATGTAGATAAATAGGTAGTTCGGTATGCAGGTCATTATTGTACTTGTCGGTGTATAACACGCACCTGTTTTGTTCTCAAATAGGCTTCAAAATTAAGCTGCGTCCTATACAGTGAAGGTAGACATACATGTACCGATGTTTTTGTTTTATTTTTACAGTTGGCGGCAGTCTAGCTTTTCCCTGCGATAACAGAAGGGGTGACGGGAGGCGGGGCCAGGGTGGCGGCGTAGTATTACAACTTTCGACAGCACATTGAACTGTATATGCACTTCCAAATCAAGTTTTGTTTAAAAAAAATTCCCATGGAAAATTAAGAGAGAATTCATGTTTGAAAGTTAGTGAATAAGTCTATAACATTAGTTACATTTTTCTTAAATGTGAGTGTTTTTCTCCCTCGAAAATTGATTTCATTTGTTGGCGTTCGTCTTATGCAAGGGAATGTCCAATGAACAATCAGGTGAGTAGGCAGACGAATAGGTAGGCGGGTACGTAGACAGAAAGAATGTGTGCGCCACTGTCACTTCAGATTTTTTGATAAACAAAATCAAACATAGAATTAGGTCTATATATGGACTATATCAAGTTTACAGTTCTATAAATTGACTAATCAAGTTTACAGTTCGGCTAGATTTAGCAGGGACCGAGCCAGACATGTACAGTCGACACGAGAAATGATTTCGGCTTTGTCCGCAAATAAAAGCGACCATCGACCACAGATATGCCAGTGTGCAATCAATACCAAACTATTTCAAATAGTTAAGAAGATTAAAGATCTATTCACTGGTTGCTACTGGCGTCTGCTAAACACCTAACCGCTAAATTCTTCTCTCTTGACTAGCTTCTCCACTTCTAGCTTCGTTACCTCTTTCCGTTTTTTTTTTTCCATTTCTCACCTACCGTGAGCATTAATCAATACCTGTTAATTGCTAACAAATTAAATGAATGGTCTCAAACGTTTCGAATATCCGCCATTTTCTCGTGTAATACGTACGTCATTACCGGCCCGAGGTCCCAAAAATAGCTTTACGACATGGCCACCTTTGCAATTTCGGTTTCGATTTTATTATTTTCAAGAATTCAGATCCCAACTGGTCACAAACGTTTACTGTGGAATGAAGTCCAAATGTTAATGCTCTTGTATTTCGAGGCGCGTCGTTAGCTGATTAAAAAGAGTTTGACTGTGTCCATTCTAGGAGGAATCTAGAGTTCTAAATACGGATACGGCGTCACGTCTGTTACACAACAGTTTGTCGAGGTCGCTGGTATTGCTCTGATTGTTAGAGATTTTTCTACCGATGGTTGTGCAGGATTTGAACTGCTGGCCACCATGTGGGGCTAGGACCTAACCTTTCTGGTCGCCATTTTAGTTTGAGGAGAGATCGCCGACATGCAGACATGATGTAGAAATGCAAGATATGAAAGTGCTGCATGATGCACACATACACGGCAAGTGAGGAGGCATGCATCGATACGTCTTTTGTAGAGTCATTCTCTTGAGTTAAGTTTAATTGTTAAGTGTTAGGTGTTGAGTTAAGTGTTATGTTAGATGTTGAGTGTTAAGTGATGAGTGTTAAGTGATGAGTTAAGTTTTGAGTTAGATTTTGAGGTAAGTGTCGAGTTAAGTTTTGAGTATTAAGTGTTAAGTGTTAAGTTAAGTGTTAAGTGTTAAATGTTGAGTGTTGAGTTAAGTGTTGAGTTAAGTGTTAGGTTAAGTTCTGAGTTGAGAGTTAAGTGTCTAGCTAAGAGACACAATATAGAGACTTTCCATGCGTGCTGTGTCCCCATCTTCAGCAGCGGAGTTTCAGTATCTACTGTCAAATCTTGTGCCTCCAACATCATTCTTATCATGAACACAGAAAGCAGATGGTTATGCATGAACATCGTCGCATCAAACATGTGACCCTACATACCGTGATAATGATGATGTAACACAACATTACGTTTTGATCATCAATAAAACCGAAGGTTTTGTTTAAAAAAAAAAATAATAATAACTGAGAGTTTCCCAGGAAGACTTGTCCGCTAGAAGGCATGCCCCAAGGCAACAGTCTCTCGCTGGGTCCCTGGAAGACTTGTCCCTCGAAGAAATGTCCGTAACATCAGACTGGTCCAAGGCAACAGTTTCTCGCTGGGTCCCTGGAAGACTAGTCCCCTCAAAGGCATGCCCATAACATCAGACTGGTCCAAGGCAACAGTTTATCGCTGAGTCCCTGGAAGACTTGTTCCCTCAAAGGCATGCCCGTAACATCAGACTGGTCCAAGGCAACAGTTTATCGCTGAGTCCCTGGAAGACTAGTCCCCTTAAAGGCATGCCCGTAACATCAGACTGGTCCAAGGCAACAGTTTATCGCTGAGTCCCTGGAAGACTTGTCCCCTCGAAGGCATGCTCACAACATCAGACTGGTCAAAGGCAACAGTTTATCGCTGAGTCCCTGGAAGACTTGTCCCCTCGAAGGCATGCTCACAACATCAGACTGGTCCAAGGCAACAGTTTCTCGCTGGGTCCCTGGAAGACTAGTCCCCTCAAAGGCATGCCCGTAACATCAGACTGGTCCAAGGCAACAGTTTCTCGCTGAGTCTCTGGAAGACTTGTCCCTTCGAAGGCATGCTCACAACATCAGACTGGTCCAAGGCAACAGTTTCTCGCTGGGTCGCAGTGTTGCGTTTATTGATGAACTTATTTATGCTGATTGTGTCATCCAGTTTTGATTTCTTTCACAGATTTCACTGGACGGCTGAAAGCGGGGACAACATCAGAAATCAATATAGAGGTATTGATCGTCATGGAGGAAAGCAGGCACAAGAAGT